TGAGCGTTAATGGTGGAAATGTTGATCCAACTTACTTTAAAAGTTTAGTTGGAAGTGTTCGATACCTTACCTACACAAGGCCGGACATTCTTTATGAAATCGGTTTAATTAGTAGATACATGGAAATACCGGATCAAACTCATCTTAGTGCGGTGAAGAGGATTTTACGTTATATTAGAGGTACACTCAATGATAGATTATTTTATTCTTGCATTAATGATTCTAGATTTGTTGGATATTCGGATAGTGATTGGGGATGAGACCTGGATGAAAGGAAAAGTACCTTGGGTTATTGTCTTTTCATGGGAGATTCAGCTTTTACTTGGTCATCCAAGAAGCAAGAAATTGTTACTTTGTCTACGTGTGAAGCGAAGTATATGGCTGCAACTTCAATGATGTGTCATGCTATCTGGTTGAGGAACTTGTTGAATTATTTGGGATTTCCTCAAGAAATTCCCACAGAGATCCTTATTGATAATAAATTGGCGATGGTGTTGACGAAGAACCTGGTGTTCCATGAGCTGAGTTAACACATTGATACGTACTACCATTTTATTAGAGAGCATTTGAAGAATGGAAAAGTGAAGATGGTGCACTGCAAGATTCAAGATCAAGTTGCTAACATTTTTATGAAGCCATTACAGCATAATGTGTTTGGAAGATTGAAAATGATGCAAGGCATGAGAACCCAAGGAATTGGGTAAACGGGGATGTTAGTTTTATAAGCCCAATTCTTAAAAGGGTAGTTTTTGTATTTTATTTTTGGGTTTATGATGTAATATTAGAAAATTAAGTTGTTAGATGATATTTAAACATGTATTTTGTGCATTTGAACAGGCAATAGAAGAGTCCAGAATATTTGAAGAAGTCTGTTCATGCCTTTGGGAGATGTGTTCATGCATTGCTACGTGGAAAGCTGAATAAACAAAAGTTGGTTTCATGCTTGGAGGCGGCTGGCCATGGAGTGACCAGATTCAAGGGTTTTTGGCTTGAAATAGAGCTATATAAAGGGAAAAGAGTTGCTGCCAAAACAGAGTGTGTTTATGAGGAAAAACAGAGGGAAAATCGGAGAGAAAAAATATGTGTTGTTGCAAGAGGAAAACACAGCAGCTGTCTTCAAAGCTGAAGCTCTGTTTGTGAGTTTTGAAAGTTATTTTTGTGTTGTTCTTGCTGAAATTTTAAATTAGCTTCCTCTTTGTATTGCTTGATATTGTGATCATTCTTGATGAAATATAGAGGTGTTCCATTAATGAAATTGTCATAGCAGATTTTTTTTTTTTTTTTTTTTGCCTCTATGTTATGTGATTTTGTGCACCTTTGGTGATTTATTTTGCTTTCAATTCCTAACAGTATCTTGGAGTTTCCCTTAATTCTTTAATTTATCACTTTTTCCAATAAAATGCTTACCTTTCCATAAAGAAAAAAATAATTAATCATTTACGACATAAAATATGTCACATCTATTGCCTTGGATTTCCAATATTTTCTTTCTATATAATAAAATCGTGGTTCATAAAGTTTTAGCATAATATTCGGTATCATGGCCAATCAAAAAAAAACTATGGAAACATATTTGTATGGATTTGTAATGTGCATACTACTATGATTGTATAAAAGTAAATAGGTATGTGAGAGATAATGCTTTTCAACAAGAAAGCATTTTATCGACCATGTGGAAGGAACACCATTGGAGACACCACCAACCCCCTATATTTTTTTATTAGTTTTTTATTTTTTATTTTGACCATGTTTTTGGTTAGGAAGAATCTCCCCCAATCAGAATAACATTAGACATGGTGGAATAGAGTAAAAGTCAAGTATTTCCAATCACTTGCTAACTACAAATATCGATTGAATTCAACGGTCATCGGCTAGAGTCGAGACCAAGATATCCATTTTTTCGTTTAGTCCTAAATGACTCCTACATTAACCTCATGCTCCAGGGTTGACAAATTTTTACCAAGTAAAGAAGCAAAATAAAGTATCTCTTAAGTGGTATTTGATAAAACTGAAATCTGAAAATTGAAAGCTGAAATCTTAAAGCTAAATGCAGAATTTTTAGACTATTTGATATCCACTGAAATTTAAGTATTGAATTGAATTAAATTATTTGATAACTGTACAAAGTTGGCGTCTAAAAATAAATTAATTTCTAATTTTACCCTCCCACTCTTTAATTTAAAAATATTTATAAAATATGTCATAGCATAAATCATAATCATAATTATCATATTATAGTCTACATTTAACAAACATCTGATTAAAAAAATAAATAAAAACATCTAAATAACACAATAAGTGAACAATAACATTTGATCAAGAAAAAGAACAATAACTAACATTTTGTGTGTCCATGTGTGTAACTATGCGCGTGTGCAGTGCATGCATGTATCTGTGTGTAATTTTGTTTGTGTAATTATGTATTATGTATATTTTTGTTTCAAATGACAAGGGAAGGGAGCAAAAAGAAGAAGAAGAAGATAGTGAAGAAGATTTACCTATTACACGTTGAAGAAGAGATTGACAAGGAGTATAGATAGGTTAGGGGTTTTAGAAATAAGACTAATTAGTGTTTTAATAGATGTAAAATATTTTAGGGTATAATTATAATATTATAAATATTATTAAAGATACTTTTACTAAGCCTTATCAACTTTTAGAATTAAGTAAGAGATCTTCTACTTAATATTGTAGCCTATATTTTTAAAGAGTACTTAACATATTGAGAGAGTTTAAATTTTGGTTATCAAACGGGCATAATTAATAAGTGTTGAACACATTCATTTTAAGTTTTGAATTTGGGTTAACAAACACAACCTTAGGTGGTGTTTGATAAAACTGAAAGCTAAACACTAAAAATTGAATGCTGAATTTTTTAATTCACATACTGTTTGTTATCAACTAAAATTTAAGTATTAAATTTAATCAAGTTGTTTGACAAATATAAGGAACTGAAGTTTAAAAATTATTATTATTCTAATTTTGCCCTTCTCCTTAACCATCTCTCCGTAACTAACTTATTCTTATCACCACCATTGGTGGTGGTGGTGGTAGTGGCACAATGGTAGTGGTGGCGACAACGATGGTGATGGTGGCAATGACAGTGGCATAATAGTGGTGGTGGTGGTCGTCATGGTGGAGGTGGTGACTTTGGTGGTGGTGGTAACAATGCACAATAGTAGTGGCGGTGACATAATGGTAATGGTGGTGACAGCGACATACTGATGGTGATGGTGGTGGAAGCAGTAGCGGCAATGGTGGTGTTGGTGATGGTGATGGTGGTGGTAGCGATAATGATAATGGTGGTAGTGACAGTGACACAATGATAGTGATGGCAACACTATGGTGGTGTTAGCGGCGACACAATGGTAGTGGCGGTGGTGACGATGATGGCAATGATATTGGAAGTGGCAGTGGCGATAGCACAATGGTGGTGGTGGTGGTGGTGGTGATGGTGATGGGCGCTAATGGTAACAATGGTGGTGATAAATGATGGTGGTGGTGGCGACAATGACACAATAGTAGTGATGGCGATAGAAACGTTGGCGGTGATGGTGGTGGTGGCAGTGGTACAATTGTAGTGATGTTGGTGGTGGTGACAGCGACACAATGTTGGTGAGAGTATATTTGTTTATTATGAGAAATTAATAAAATCCTTACTGATTAACATTTTCGGCATTAAGTGATAAGTATGTAGCTTCTACTTAAAATTTTAGCATATTTTTAAGAGGTGCTTAAAATATTAAGTAATATGAGTTTTATGTTATCTAACGAGTTTAATTTATTAAGTGCTTAAAGTATTCAACTTTAAACCTTAAATGGTTTTATCAAACAGTCTCTTATGGTATGTTTGGTAGGAGGGATGGAAAATAGGAAGGATGAAAAAATAAAAGAGATAAACTTTCTATGCATAGAGGAAGAAAGTATACTTTCTCTCATTTTTGTTTGGTATGATGGATGAAATTGGAGGGATCAATTTTCCATTGTTCGGTATCAGAGGAAAAATTGGAGGAAAGAAAACAAATAAAAGACTAATTTATCATTGTACCCTCACAATAAACTTATGAATAAGTTTGAGCATTTCAATTAAATATTGATTTTTAACCCAAAAATATTTAATTGCTAGTAGTTACAATAAAAATTCTAAATAGCATGGTAGTAGATTTTCAAATTTAAATTTTAATATCTCAATAATATTGCTCATAAAGAAAAAAAAAGAAACCCTATTATATGTCCACATGAAGAGCAAGTGGCATATTGTCCCGCCAAATGGACAAGGTGAGCAACAACACAAGCATTTCAAGTTTGAAAACATTTGGAACATAAAAGGGGTAAATTAGTAATTAAAATCTCTCCCATCGGAGGCTGCCACTTTCCAGTCAACTTTCCGCCCAAAATGGACAAATTTTTTTTTGGTGGGCGGGATGGATGGCTTTTCCATCTAATTTTCCTTTCCACTCAATTTTCTTTTGATACCAAAGAGTGAAAAATTATTCTTTCCTTTCCATTTTCCACTCCCCATTTTCCTTCATCTCTATTTTCCATAAAACCAAACAATGGGTTAGTTTGCTTTTGATTGGAAAAACTGTACAATTTTGAAAATATCAGGAAGCAATCCTGTTATTTTCACAAGTGTTAGGGGATATCATTGGAACTTTCTCTAAAACTCATAGATGTGCTTGAATCAATTGCCACGGTACACTTCCCTTGCACCACAACAGCGCCCTGGCCAATCAAACTGCACAAGTATGTGGATAAAAAACAGCATCATTATAAAGGGTCCCACAACCCTATTTAAACCCTATTAGGGACCTTACGTCAGCATGCTTACATCATCCATCACATCCGCAGCATGACACGTGTCAATATGAAGCACCTTCATTGTATTTTCCAGGAAAGAGTCCGCGAAGGTACAGCACAAAAATAAACGAAGGAAAAAAAGTTTGTATTATATAATGGCACGCCTGAAATGTTCACATCCCTCTTTATAGTGTACCACTATGTCGACAATGGACTATTTTCAAAACTCTAACCCTTACCATTCCGGTCCTCTTGTTCCCGGAATCATCGATACATCGGACTTTGAGCTCTCCGACTATCTCCTGCTCGAAGATGGTTTGGAGGGAGATTTCTCACAAAGTATTGCCTCGCCGGAATATGGAACCGAGGGCTCCATCAGTTCGATTGAAACCGGCAATCCAACTACCAGGGCTAGTAACATGCAAGTCACATATATAAAACTACTTGCAAACTAGTTTTATCTAACTATTAATGTGGTAGAAATAATAATTTGTTTTTGCTTTTCCTTTTTGTAGAAATTATAGAAATGGGGCAAAAAAAAAGGTGGATGCAGGGTGCAAGGTTGCATTCAGAACGAAGTCGGAGTTGGAAATCATGGATGATGGATTTAAATGGAGGAAGTATGGGAAGAAGACGGTGAAGAGCAGTCCAAATCCAAGGTACATGGTATTAAATATTCGATCATTATATTTGATATATGATGTCTTTAAAGGTTTTTGTCATGATAGTCAAATAGTGATCAAATAAGTTTGTAGTAACATATTTGAATGTGAGCATTATATCTTCGTTTTTTTATTGTCCGATGATTTTATAGAGTAGGTCTCCCATTAGTGGTAGCTCACTGGACCGTTAATTATTATTAGCATAATTGTATGTAGGAGAACCAATGGATCTCATAATTCTGGAAGTCTGAAAGGATCCACTAGTGAAATCTGCTTTTTGGCTGGTTATGCTTTACAGTCTTCTGATCATAGGATCCACGGAGTTTCGATTTGTTCTCTCTCTCTCTCTCTCTCTCTCTCTCTCTCCTTCTGATCACTGTAAGCTGATCAACCACCCAAATGTTTTTTTTTTAAGAGGTTAACTATGGATCTATCTGATGCCATTGATTGAACATAAGATCTTATATTAAACAGTTATTATTGTTTGCACTATTGAAATATTATATTCAGAAAACTAAACTAAGCTGCCGTCCTTTTTTGATACCATATATGGTTTTAACACTTTTTGTTCTTCCACAAATGTTGATTAATAGATTTATTGTAGAATTAACCTCCAAAGTAAGACACTATTCATAATGCAAAGAATACAACAAAGCTAATTACTTTTCTAGCCTATTATGATATTCAACATTCATTTGCACTTCATATGGCACAATCTAAAGTAATGGCATGGATTTTTATTATATTTCTCAGCCAAAAACTGCTTATAAAAATTGCAAATACAGATAGTCTGTAGAAGGGACTTGAATAGCTTTTTTCTTTCATATGCAATCGAAACTTGCATATACTATTTTGGGGAAAGTGATGCCTCTACAATTTTGGGCCAAAATAGCTGCCATGTCAGACAAGTGGGTTAGAATTTAGATGAAACTGTAGAGTCTTCTTCCGAGCACCCCTACTGGGAGAGAAAGAGCGGTATAGCATTTGACTCCCTCGATTAAGCAACCAATTCGGGTCACCCATTGGATAGCTTTCTTCATTCACTCAATATTATATCTTACATAAATGGGTGCTATTTTTCAGAAATGAGGAAGCACTAACCATAATCTAGAAGTTTAAAATATGAGAGGGATTGGGGATAAGGAAAGACAGAGAAAAAAGAACACAAGCATACACATGGTTCACATTGTGCCTACATCTACTGACCACATGTCCAACGGGTTAAATTGACTTATAATGCGAGTATAACAAAGATAACCTTTCACACATACTTATTATCGTGTATGCATCTTCAAACTATGATACCTTTCTCTGACAATTTGATTTGGCCAAATTATTTGGTCATACCCAGGTTATAAGTTTTTCATCTATTGCGGGATCTAGTGATATCAGTGGTATGTAGTCCTTTCTCATTTTTAAAAGGCCAATTCCCAAATTCGAACACGAATTTATCTTTAATAAATAAACACTTGTTATCGCTTTAGATCCCACATCAATCTTAAGACATGACTGTTCGAAAATTTATGTTGCTACAGTGTTATTGGAAGTGCATGCAGCTCCAGCCTTTTTTGTTTTCAAGGAGGAGGAGCACAAGCCTAAACCAGTATGCAACTTGGTAGACAACTCAATATAATAGCATGTCCAATTATGACTCAAATTTGAGTAAAAAGCTTGATTTTGTATAAAATACTTTAATGGACAAATTTAAATATCTACTCAATTTTTTTTTAAAAATAATCTCTTACTCTCTCAAAGCTCATTTTTTTAAAAAAGTTTTTGTCACAAAAACATTTTATCCTCTCTCATTTTCTGTTTTCATTCCTTCCCCAATATTAAAACAGAAAAGAAAAGACTCCCCATATTAAGATATTTACTCAATATTAACTTAATATCAACTAACAGTATTTCCTGTCTTCAATTCTGCCTAAAACAATTCCGTATGAGAGAGAGAGATCTTGAGGACGTGAGTTTATGAGAGAGAATAAGGGTAAAAATAGAGAGATAAGAGTATAGAAAGAGAGAGTGACATATAGTAAAAAGTTATCCTCGAAGAATAGAGACAGAGAGAGGTAGTGTGGTCAGCAGCAATGACAATGACTTTGAAGATAAAGGCAATAACTTGTTTTGTCAAAGGATTTTTTTTTTTTTTGGTTTAGATAGGATAAAAAGTTACATTTGAAAATTTGATATAATATTTAAATCTCTCTCAGTTTGGGTCAAGAATAAGTTTTATTTTAATTTGATATAAGTTTGGGTCTAAAGTTGGAGAAGTTTTTTAGGTCATTTTAAATTAAATTTAATTTTGAGTCAATGTTAGAAATGCTCTAAGTAGCACTTATTAGCTTACAAAAACATATATTTTTTGGCATCACAGGGAAATTGAATCTAAGCGGTAGATGTTAAATAGAGTTATTTATATCAATAAAACTCGAAAATAATAAAATTAGATGAAACAATAATGTAATAAATTTGCCCACATATTGCATTGTGATTGTACAGAATATATAGTGAGGTATGTATCAAAATATTTTACTTGTCGGTACCCTATTTAAACCCCTGCTTGCATGGTCCTCCCTCCCAAGGGCGGAGGGACATGGGAACCCCCTAAAATTGCTAGTTAAAATATATTTAAATATTGTATTATCTATTTTAGTTAGTCACTTTTAAAGTTCAGTCCTTAGCAACTTTTATAAGTTCACTCCTTAGACACTTGTATAAGTTCACTCCAACCACGCTCTTTATTTTAGGTAGCTATTATATCCAACTCTCACTAACTTTCAATAATTTAATATATATATATATATATATATATATATTTATGGTACTCGAAGATACTCAGCCCAAGTTTAGAACTATGATTTTATGGCCCAGATAAGGGGTGGTGTAAATATATGAATTGATAGAGGATTAAGTTGTGAGAATAAATCAGAAACAATATATAAGTGGTTCACCTTAGCCGAGAGTCTAAGGCTACGTCCACTGTAATGAAGTCTCTTGCTCCTTGAGTTATGTATATTTCTTGAAGAAGAAGATTACAATAGGTTGTTCGGCTTAAAGCCTATTTATACAGAGTTTTGTGAATACCAGTCTTTCAATGGAGAACTTGTCAGTACCTACTTGTAGTGTGATAGTGTTCTACTTATACGAGCAATACTTCTAGGGTTTCTTACGGCTTCCTCCACCCTTTTTGTTAATTCTGTGGTCCTTTTTTCTTTTGTCCTTTAATGATCTCTATCATGTGACGCCGTTGTATCCATGATCCTTGGGTGGTTACGTGCACAGTTATTTCCTTCGCCAGAGATTACACGTTTGTTAGAGGTTTCAGAAGTTGTCCCCTGGTTCCCTGGACACGTGACGTGAAGTGGGGCATTTGGGGTTTGTTGACTTGATCTTGGGCTGCTTAAAGCTGAGCTTGCTACAACCGAGTAGGGTTATGTTGAGCTGGATTCTCTGTTGAGCTTCCTCATTTGGATTATGGCCCACTCCTTATTACAGATCAGATGGATTATTAAGGGGTTTCTTGGGCCGTTGTGCACCCTTTTTAGCCCAGTGGGCAATTTGGAATTAGGATGGGCAGCCCACTCCAAAATTCTACAATTATCAATTGCCCCCCAGCCCAAGGTCACGAGGACGACGTCATTCTCTAGACTAGGGTTAAATAAGTCTTTTCCAGGGTTATGATTACCCCCATGGATGACGGTTTTATCTTATCATCAGCTCTGCCTTAGGACTTTTGGTTAATTTGTGCCGGCTTTGATGGGACAGACGTGCTTGAGTGGAGGCATGTGTCCCCTGTAGAGCGATCTTCAAAAAAATGGTTTCCTGCACATCCCTCTCCACGTCCCATTGTGATAATAAATAATGTGTATAAAAGGGGAAAGAAAATCTTGGTCTCCCCTATTTGCATTTGAATCTCTTCCTTCTCGCATTTCTCTCCTTTTTCCTAGTTCTTGAAGCTGCTGTTCTAAGTTCTCAGTGACTCAGGATCCTACATTTTTCATTCCTTTGTGATCCAACTCTAGCTTCTGGTTAGGTATATCCTTCATACTCCTTCTTTTTCTTCAATCTAGATCCCCTCAACCCTCCCTGGTGCGGTTTCAATTTTCGTTTCCTTATTTGATGATTCAGTTATTTTTGGAATCGCTCTAGTAATTTTGCCTCCCTTTTTCTATTCATAGATTATCCTCTACTACTGAGGTTATATTTAATTAGAACTTGGTGTCTTACTCCTTTGTTCTTAACGGATTGTGTTTTACATCTGCCCTCTTTATACTCTAATATTCAATTTGGGCCGATAATGTGGAGGGTGATTTCTGATTATGACTACGAGGATGAGACAATGAGGGAGTCCCTTCGTCTTCTACTAGTGGTCATTCCGAGGAAGGGGCGCCCTCTCCCATTGATGGGGAGGGGATACCTACTATAGCGATATTCTGGTTAGGAATAACCAATTTTTTGTGTCCTTAGCAAAGAATTTTGAGTTCCTTCCCAGGGAGCCGGCTCAGGAAGCCTTAGGAACGGGTCTCAAGGTTCTGACCTTGGTTCCTTCTGAGGAGACTCCTTTATTGTTGCCCCCCATTCCCTCTGGTTATCTTAGGAGGAAAACGTCTAAGGGTGCTTGTACTTCTGCCCCTAAGAAGGTAAAGGCTTGTAGGGATCTCTCTAACCTTACATGTTGTGCTAAGTCGACTTCGAGTCATCTCGACGAGTAGGATTTGGTAGATTTGAGGGAAGAATATTCCTTTCCCAAGTCTATTCTACTCCATTCTCTTGAAGAGGATGAGAGGTGTAACTCTAATATTCCTGGGATGACCTGCTTCTTTGATTCGGTTTTCTGTGCTGGCCTTCGATTTCCTGTTCACCGCTTCATCAGAGACATTCTAGCTTTTTGCATATCTGTCCGACTTGGCTATCTCCGAACTGCTTGGGTTTATTAGTTAGCTTTCTTATCCACTGGTTAGAGAGCAGAAACGACTCACCCCATACGACTTGTGAGATTGCCTCAATTTTCCAGATTAAGTCTTCTCCTTCATTAGGTTTCCTCTATTTTGCTAAGAGGATGAAGGAGAAGAGTCTGATTTTTGGGCTCTCGTCATCCAACAAGGGGTAGAAACCGAGGTAATTCTCTGTAGAAGGTGACTCCAGAGAAGTATTAGGAGTTTTTGGCGACGTCCCTCGCCTTCCTCGATTTTGGGGAGTCCCATGGAATACTCGTAAGGATAAAAATTGGTCATACTTTTCCTTTCATCTACTAGCTAGAACTCTAACCTGCAATCGTTATTCTAATGCTTGGTTTTGTCTATAGAGTTTTGCTTGACTCTCGACGCCGAGGAAGCTACCAAGGTGGGTAAGGTAGAAGCTTTTGGCTTGAAGTATTTTCTTGACCTCGTAACCAAGGAGAATCTTGCCAAGCACAAGCTTGGGCCACCAGTTGACGTGCCTCCTGCTCATATTTATGATCCCTTGCATTCTGACTTGCCTAAACCGATGGATCCTGACCTTATTATGGTGATGGTACTCGGAGATGCTCAGCACAAGTTTAGAACTATAATTTTATGGCCTAGATAGGGGTTGGTGTAAATATATGAATTGATAAAGGATTAAGCTGTGAGAATGAGTCAAAAACTATGTATAAATGGTTCATCTTAGCCGAGCGACTAAGGCTACGTCTACTGTAATAAAGTTTCTTGCTCCTTAGGTTGTGTATATTTCTTAAAGAAGAAGATTACAATGGGTGTTTTGGCTTAAAGCCTGTTTATACAGAGTTTTGTGATTACCAGTCTTTCAATGGAGAAGTTTCCAGTACCTACTTGTAGTATGATAGTGTTCTACTTATACGGGTAATCCTTCTAGGGTTTCTTACGGCTTCCTCCCCTTTTTTTACTGATTCTATGGTCCCCTTTTCTTTTGTCCTTTCGTGATCTCTGTCATGCGATGTCACTGTATCCTCTATATCTCTTTCCACAAGTGCAGCTCGGTCAATCATATCCCCATACTCTCTGATCTTGAGGGCCACCAACTTCTCCCGAATAACAGGCCTTAATCCCTGCTCAAAGCGCTTGATCCTACTGGCCTCAGTAGATTTAAACTTCGTAGCATAACGGGATAGCTTGTCAAACCTCTTCTCGTACTCAGCCACCATTATGCTGCCCTATTGTAGAGTAAGAAAATCTGCCTTCATTCTGTCTCTAACTGATTCCGAAAAATACTTGTCTTGGAAGATTTGGTCGAACTCCTCCCAAATGAGTGCATCGATGTTCCTCCTTCTCTTTAAGAAATCCCACCAATGGTTGGCCTCTCCCTCCAATAGATATGTCGCCAAGCCCACCCTAAGGTCATCAGCCACACCCATGCCGTCATAAATCTTCTTCACTCGGCGGATCCATCTATCCGCATCCAAGTGATTGAAGCTTCCTTGGAAAGTGGGTGGGCGTTGTCTTAGAAACTCTCGAAGAACGACCATTCTCCGATTCTCATCCCTGTTGCCCGGTACTTGGGCTAGTGGATGAGCTCCCCCATTGTGGTTGTTGTTGTTTCCTACCAGAGTGGTGAGCTCCCTTAAGCATTGGTAGATGTCGTTCATGGCATCGGGAGGTGGTGGTGGGGGTGGATTTGCTTGACCTCCACAACCAC